ATGTCCCCTAAATCGGTAAAATTATTTAATTAAGTTCAAATTGACTTGTTTATCATGTTAAATGCATACGGTGTTGACACGTGTCCTTATTATTATTTTTATTAAAAATATTATTTATTATAAATTAATTAAAATAATAATAATAAAAATAATTAAAAAAATTAAATTAAAAAAAAGAAACAGCCACCAATTGTCTTCCTTCTTCAAGGACAACCGAACGGCCACAGCTGTTTTTTTTTTAAAAAAAATTCTTTTTAATTATTATTATTATTTTAATTAATTTATAATAAATAATATTTTAATAAAAAATAAAATAAGGACATGTGTCAACACCGTATGAATTTAACCTGATAAACAAGTCAACTTGGACTTAATTGAACAATTTTATAGGTTTAAGGGAGCTGAATGAAGCTTTTTTTCACTTAGAGGTCCCAATTGCACTATCCACTCGACTTAGGGGGCCAATTTGACACTTTTTCCCATGTAATTTTGTGGTAACGTGGATGTCACGTAGATGATTTTAATTAAAAAAAAGAACATTTTTCTTTATTTAAAGAAATTTATAAGTTATGCTAATGTGGCTTTTATGTAGCATCCATGATTACAAAGAAAATTACATGGGGAATTTCACATTAACATAACCTGAATAGTAGGTAACTTACAAACAATAAGGTTTTAGTTACGCTTTTATTTAAAGAGTTCGAGAACTAATATTGATGTGTTTTTTTTTTAGTAATTCAAGGACGCAATTGACTTTTCTTAAATAGTTTGAATGCCTAATTGGCCCTTCTCTAACATATTAAATAAAGAAGTTCTTGAGGTCTTACCGAATATGAATAAAATTAATCTCGGTGTGCATGTGATTATTATTATTATTATTATTATTATTATTATTATTATTATTATTATTATTATTATTATTATTATTTTTAAAGAGAATTCCCCTTTTAGTATTATGACATTGTATCATTTGATACTGTAAAAACTCCTTTTCATTTCAATGCTAAATAACATTTCATGTATATATAGCTTAAAATTGAACCCTTTTTTTGTAGCCCCATTTTATCTTTATGATATGGACAATTATAGTATTGTATTTGGTTAAAAGCCCATGAAGAGGCTCAAGGTCTATTCATGAGGCCCAATAGATAAGAAATCAATCGTTATATCCTATACCACGGCGCACATACCACTGTGCGCCGCGCGCCTCCCAAAACGATGTCGTTTTGGGATCGTTTTGGGAGGCGCGGTAGGAAGTTATTGGATTATGTGTATTTGTTCACACAGTTATGTGTATTTGTTCATACAGTTATGTGTATTTGTTCACACAGTTATGTGTATTTGTTCATACAGTTATGTGTATTGGTTCATACAGTTATGTACATTTTTTATACAATTATGTACATTCTTTTTATACAATTATGTACATCCGAATCGGAAAATTTGTGTGTATTATGTTAATAGTTGATGTGTATTATGTTAAAAGTTTATGTTTATTACGTATTATGTTAGATTATGTGTATTATCTTTTAAAAAGAGTATGTATATTTTGTTATATAATTATGTACATTCATGTATACAATTATGTGTATTCTAGTATAACATTATGTACATTCTTGAACAACGGTTTTTTTTTAAGAAAAAAGTACTGCCATTCACTGGGGCGGGAAATTTCAAAAAAAAAAAAAAAATTAAAACGACGTCGTTTTGCATCTGGGCGCATAGTGCAACGCGCGCCGTGGTGTAGGATATAAATTGCCATAAGAAATGGATTGTTATATTATGGACCATTATCCTGCAAGATAAATCAAATTAATTTTTTTTTTTTATATACAAATAAAATCTATACCTACAAAATCTATCTATCTACAAATCTAATAAGAGCCAATAATGTTAGGCCCTTAACTAAAACAAAAAATGTTGATGTAATTGTTTTTTGAAATAAATGATTCATATTATTTTAATTTTAATATTTTTTTTATGATTTTTCTTATTTACCCTCTATTATATTATTTTCTTTTCTTAAATAACACTAGATTCCGTTAGTACAAACTTTAGTAACAGAATTTTTTCAAATATCTTTTTACCAATCGTTGATATAATTCGCTGGTCAAATCCGCTAATATAATCCGCTAACGCTAACCGCTAACTGCTGATTGTCAAACAAGGACATTGCAAGGTAGTTTCTCACTTCAATTTGTTGTGTGATTTGAATTCTCTCTTTGTCAACAAATCCCTCAAGTAGTTAATATAACTGGTTTTATTAATTTAAATTTTTAAATTTTTTTCATGGTATTAATAAAATACTTGGTAATAAATATATAAAATTATTTTGTATTATAACTTTGATATTTAATTAAAAAAATAGTGCACAAAAAAGATAATAGACAATGTAGTGAATATAATCAATTGATGAATTAGAATGTAAATAATTTTTACATTGGAGAAAAATAAAGACAATATAACAAATGAAATTATTTCTCTTAATTAATTTATTGATAATGAATAATTATTTTTTTAATAAAGACATTGTAGGGACAATGTAGTGAATATAATCAATTGATAAATTTAAATATAAAGAATTTTTATATTAGAGAAAAATAAAGACAATATAACTAATGAAATTATTTCTCTTATTTAATTTATTGATAATGAATAATTTTTTTTTTTTGAATAAAGGCATTGTAGACACATAATTCTAAATTAAAGAAATGCATATGTATTATTTTTTGTTGTAGCTACTAAATTATTATTTAAATTAATTTAATAAGAGAAAAATAGAGTACTAATTATACCAACTTTGATTGGGATGTGATTCGAACCTAAGATCTTTCTTATTGAAATCAATGGATAAGTTAACGGTGAACTAATAGAAATTAACGAAAAAGATAGTATTTAATGGAAAAGTTAACGGATAATCATATTCATTAAGGATAAATTAGGAAATCTCAAGGAAAAATTAAAATCTGATCAATCTGAGCCATTCATTTGATTAAAATCTGTGACCGCCATTTTTTCTACCCATTATAGGCCTAACTCTCTTGGGCTCTTATTAGTATAGTAGATGTGACCGCCATTTTTTCTACCCATTATAGGCCTAACTCTCTTGGGCTCTTATTAGTATAGTAGATATAGTAGATAGTAGATATTCCCTTAACTATTTATTATTCTTAACTTACTCATTAGTTTCTATAAGAAAGGTCTTAGGTTCGAACCTCATCTTAATCAGAGTTGACATAATTGTAAAATATATACTACGAATATGTTAAAATATTTGGAGTATTAAAAAAAAATACTATATAAAATTTAACATAAACTTTGGTCAAATGATTAGCCCGACTAAATACAAAACATTCAAAGTTGAGCATCAAAGATTATAAATTATGAACTTTGAAAATTATTTTTTTGCATTAAAAAAAAAATTAGATTAAGTTTTTTTTTTTTTTTTTTTTTTTTTGCTTAATTAATCTTCGTTTGATTATTTAGAACAAAACTCAATATTTCAATTATGCTTTTTCAATTATTGGAATGATTTAGGTCATTATGGTATTAATATTTTTTTTTTATGTCTTTTTATAACGGTACAATTGTACATTACTTTACAAATATTATACTATTATTTTTTTATCGGACAAAATTATTCTTACATCATTGTCAGACCTGCACGACCTAATTACAAAGTTGTTGATCACAAATACAATTACACCTGGACTCTAAAACGATAGGACAATTTTCCAAAGAATTGACCATGCTACATCTCACAGGCTCAAATTGAACAAGTTTACACATCATTCTTAGAATTTTATTATGAAAGCTTCTAAAAAAATTGTAAGTTAATTTTTATTATATCATTATAACAATACCTATTGTAATAATATATTTTGAATTATTTATTAACTTTATTTATTGACATCAATTGTAGTAATTTTCATTGACAAACTCCCAAAACAATTTGTTTCAACAACGAATGTAAATTAAAAAAATCAATGACTTTAATGTTTTTTATGGTACGCCACTTTATTAGTCTTATTAAATTAAATAAATTGGTAGCTACAACAAAAAAGAAAAATACATATGCATTTAATTAATTTAGAATTAAATATCTATAATGTCATTATTCAAAAAAAAAAAATTATTCATTATACAAAATTTAAAAGAGATATAATTTTATTAGTTATATTATATTTATTTTCTACAACCTTTCAAAAAAAAATTATTTTCTACAATTAAAAGATTCCTTACCTTCAATTCAAATTCATTAATTAATTATATTCACTACATTGCCCATTGTCTTCTTTTTACATTATCTTGTAATTAAATATCAAAGTTATAATACAAAACATGTTATATATTTATTTACTAAGTATTTTATAGAAATATAATAAATATTAATATTTTGTTCAATACTTTCACATGATAATCTATGACGACACACATCTCACAACACATGAAACATGTAGGGAAAAACTACCACTGCCAAATATCAATATACACTTGTAAGATAAAGAGTTCATAATACAACTAAGATCTCAGTCATATACACAGCAAGAAAAATATAAAACTTCCAATACCTTAATCTCATTGCATGATGATGCCCTCTATGCTACCACCAGTAACCCAATCGCACATGACATACTACCAATAAAAAAAGGGAAGACATGAGATGTACTGAAGATGAAGACAATGATAATGCTACCTAAAAGAGAATTAAGAAGACTTAGAGAAATTTAAACCATAACAAGAGATGATGATGCACATGGTGTAGGAAAGAAGAAAGCAACTCGCACATGCCATTACCTACTGATGAAGATGGTACAAATATCAAGTAGAAGGGTAATAGGGTAATTACACCCTAGTGGCAGTTATAACTGCTGGACCTTAGCTTTGTATGCTTCAATATATAATCCAGTGTGTAAACGAATGAATGCAAGTTTTTCTCTCTGAAATGAAAATATCTCTGCTCCTTTTCCTTCTTTCAGTAGTGTAACCACTTTTCCGTTATGGTATCAGAGCGGCGGTCCTACCTTGCTGCTGTCACAGGCTCCGGCGATGCTAGCCAAGGTGAACAACACAATGCTCAGAACAATCAGTCGCCGATCATGACTCCTTCTACGGCGATCCTGCAACAGGTCCTGACACCGACCACAGGAATTTCGCAGAGGAGTTCACCATCTCGCAATCTCAGACGTCTCAATGCGGAGGAGTTGGAGAATCCACTTTCCCTTAGCGCTAATGATAGACCCTGTACTGTGCTGGTGAGTCCACCATTAGCAGGAAGCTCCAATTATGGAACATGGAGCATCTCGATGCAGATATCACTTGAGGTGAAAAACAAGTGGAGCATCGTTGATGGAAGTTTCTCACCTCCGAGCAGAGACCAGTATCAGTACGCAGCCTGGAGACGTTGTAACCTTATGATCTGTTCCTGGCTATTCAAGTCCGTCTCTCCTCCCATAGCGCAGAGCGTGATGCATCTAGACAGAGCCAGAGACGTGTGGGAGGATCTAAGGAGGAGGTTTGCACAACGAGATGCTCAACGCATTTCTCTTCTACAAAACGAGATCTACAGTCTGCGCTAAGAAGCCATGAGCGTGAATGAATATTACACCAAAAGCAGAATACTCTGGGAACAGATAAACAGCTTGAGGCCGATTCTCTTCTGCAAATGCGATCCAAGATGCTCATGTGAGCTTATCGATCAAATCCGAGCAGAACGAGATGTTGATCAGGTGATTAGATTTCTGCAAGGTCTTAATGATGATTATAATGACTTAAAATCAAATGTTCTTGTCCTAGATCCTTTGCCTGAAATATATAAAGTGTTTGTGATGGCCGAGAAAATGGAACGACAAATCGCTATGAGTAATCTAAGTGCAGGCAATTTGAATGTTAGTCATGCTAATGCTGCACAAGTAGATCAGAATAACTCCTTGTCTGATGATCTGCTAGCTGCTTCTATAAACTCCTACAATGGAAGAAAAGGTGGCAATGTGAAGGCGAAATGCACTTTCTGCAGTATGACTGGGCATACCATAGACAAGTGCTACAAGAAGCACTGCTATCCGCGGTGGTGGATACCGGGATTCAAGTCCAAAGGGAAACAACAAGGTAGCAGTGCACTTACAGGAGATCTGGGAATATCCTCAGAGCAATTGCAGAAAATCATCTCTATTTTGCAGCCTCAGAATAATGCCTCTCTAAGTCCGGGAACCAGTGCTGCAGTTTCCCTAATTCCCAGCTTCAAAGAGATGCGTTCTGATGACAAAGGCAAGTATCATACAAATCTTATTAATTCTCTCTCCATATGTCAGTCCTCTTGGATTCTTGACTCAGGTGCAACAAATCACATTGTGTGTTCCATGGACTTCTTTGTTGATCACTACAAAGCCACTGGAGTCAATGTTAATCTGCCAACCGGACAAATCATTGAGGTTGAACACATAGGAAACGTGAGACTGATGGAAAATCTGTGGCTAAAAGAGGCATTGTACATCCCCACGTTCAAGTTCAACATTATCTCGGTCAGTAAACTCATACAAGACACCAACTGTAAACTGACTTTTGTGCCTGGATTGTGTTTGATTCAGGAGAGACATGGGGTGCTGACTGGTATAGCTAGAGAAGACAAAGGTTTATACCTTCAATGAAGTCTCCAAGGCTACCAGAGAAGCAAGTTGTGTCACAATGCACTGGAGGCAATCTTTGGCACTAAAGATTAGGCCATTTTCCCTTAAACAAACTGCACTTGTTGAAAGATATTACTGTTTCTGTTAATAAAAATGTGGCGTGTGACGTTTGTCATTTTGCTAAGCACAAACGTTCCCCTTTTCCTTTAAGCATCACTTCATCAAAAGCTCTTTTTGATCTAATACATGTTGATATATGGGGACCTTTTCCCATACAATCCTTACAAGGGAAAAGATATTTCCTAACCTTAGTTGATGATTTTTCTAGATTTACATGGATACATCTGATGCAAAGTAAATCTGAGACAAGGCAACTCATAAAGAAATTCCATGCCTTTGTTTTCACTCAATTTGGGGCATTAATCAAGGTTATTCGAAGTGATAATGGACCCGAGTTTAACATGGTTGATTTTTTTTTTCAGAAAAAGGGATAGTTCATCAACGATCTTGTGTTTATACTCCACAGCAAAATGCGGTTGTTGAGAGGAAACACCAACATATTCTTAATGTTGCAAGGGCATTACGATTCCAAGCTCATCTACCCCTAAAGTTTTGGGGACATTGTGTTATGCATGCCATCTTCATAATAAATAGACTCCCTTCACCTATTATTGAGGGATCAAGCCACTTCAAAAGACTATATGGCAAGGAACCTGACATCACTATCCTCAAGGTCTTTGGATGCCTATGTTATGCAGCTACTCTGTCTCACACAAGACATAAAGTGGCCCCAAGAGGTAAGAAGTGTATCTTCATTGGTATTCCAGCTGATGTTAAAGGTTACCTCTTGTATGACATAGAAGATCAATCTACCTTTGTGTCAAGAGATGTGGTTTTCTATGAAGAACAGTTTCCAATGAGTACTGAGGAGTTGTCTGACAAGAAAATAGAGCTGATGTCTGAGCCTTCTCTACCCTTGATCCCTACTAATGCTACTGATGTTTTTGGTTCTGTTGAGCCATATGATATATCTTGCAGCACGCCTACACTCCTATGCCTACTGTTGACTGTGCAGTTCCACAAGCTCAGTCATCTAATCAAGATAATAGATGCATATCCACTAAGCCACATGATGATGGTAATAGCCAAGAAGAAAGCAGTGAATCCCTTGAAGCATCCAGTGAATCTCTTGGACTACATAATGCTGAGCCTCCTGTAGTTATTCAAGGAGATCTTGGTGATCCACAAAATATTGATGAATCTAACAATATGCCTCCTGTACCTCACAGTATTGATGTGCCACTTATTATTGATAAGCCACAGTCAAGGAGGCCTACAAGAAACAGACGAGCACCATGCAAACTTGAGGACTATTATTGTGATACAATTATAGAAGGGAGAGTTTCACCTCACAGCCTGTCCAAGGTAATTTCCTACAGCAGCCTTACCACCTCTCATAAGCTCTTCTCCATGGCAGTTACCACTGTCAAAGAACCACATTCATATAATCAAGCCATAAAGTCTCAATGCTGGAAAGATGCAATGGCAGCAGAAATTAGAGCTCTCCAAGAGAATAATACTTGGGCCTTAGTTGATCTCCCTCCCGGAAAAACCCCGATTGGATGCAAATGGGTTTATAAGATCAAACTCAAGGCGGATGGTACAGTGGAGAGGTATAAGGCTAGGCTAGTAGCCAAAGGTTATACTCAACAACTGGGAGTGGATTACATCGAGACATTCTCTCCCGTAGCTCGACTGACCACCATTCGAACCTTCTTGGCACTGCAGCTTCACAAGCCTGGCATGTTCACCAATTAGACATCAATAATGCCTTCTTACATGGTGATTTGGATGAAGACGTTTACTTGCTTCTACCTCCCGGTTTTGAAGGTGAAAAGCCAAACCAAGTCTTCAAGCTTTTGAGGTCTCTATATGGTTTAAAGCAAGCTAGCCGGCAGTGGAATGCAAAGCTTAGCAGTGCCCTCACTAATATGAAGTTTGTGCAGTCAAAGGCTGATCCTTCCCTATTTACAAAAGGTGCTGGTAAGGATTTTGTTGCCATACTTGTCTATGTGGATGACATTTTAGTCACAAGTCCGAACATGCTGCTGATTGAAGATCTTAAATCCTTTTTGGATGCGACTTTTAAAATAAAAGATTTGGGCACCTTGGGATACTTCCTAGGAATAGAAGCTCACAGATCTAATGAGGGGTTGAATCTATTTCAACGCAAATATGCTTTGGATATATTACATGAAGCAGGTTTCACTGGTTGCAAACCCGCAAATACTCCTATGGTTCCAGGTCACGTTCTGAATAAAAATGATGGTACTCCTCTCAGTGATACAAGCAGTTACAGACGATTGGTGGGCAGATTGCTATATTTAACGGCAACAAGGCCAGATATATCATTCTCTGTTCAGCAGCTGAGCCGATTCGTGGATTCTCCTACAAATATTCATATGATTGCAGCACACCGTGTTCTACGGTATATCAAAAAGGCTCCTGGCCAAGGAATTTTTTACCCACGAAATAGCAGCATGCATCTTAATGTCTTCTCGGATTCAGATTGGGCTGCGTGTTTGGAAACAAGAAGATCAATTACCGATTTTTGCATATTTCTTGGCTCATCTTTGGTATCTTGGAGGTCGAAAAAGCAAGCAATAGTATCGCGTTCCTCATCGGAAGCTGAATATAGAGCCCTTGCTGCCACCGTTTGTGAAACACAATGGCTTATCACCTTACTCAAAGATCTTCAGCTCAATCTTGATAAGCCAGCAACCATCTTTTGTGACAATAAGTCCGCCATTGCCATCGCTGAGAATCATGTTTTCCATGAACGCACTAAGCATATAGACATCGATTGCCACATAGTCCGTGAAAGAGTTGCTCAAGGATTAGTTAAGCTGTTGTCTGTGTCCTCCTCTGCTCAGATAGCCGATGGTTTTACAAAGCCTCTCCTAGCCTCCATGTTCTATTCTTTCATATCTAAGCTTGGTGTTCAAGATCTTCACACTCCAGCTTATGGGGGGGGGGGGGGGGGGGGGGGGTAACAAGAGATGATGATGCACATGGTGATAGGAAAGAAGAAAGCAACTCGCACATGCCATTACCTACTGATGAAGATGATACAAATATCAAGTAGAAGGGTAATAGGGTAATTACACCCTAGTGGCAGTTATAACCGCTGGACCTTAGCTTTGTATGCTTCAATATATAATCCAGTGTGTAAACGAATGAATGCAAGTTTTTCTCTCTGAAATGAAAATATCTCTGCTCCTTTTCCTTCTTTCAGTAGTGTAACCACTTTTCCGTTAAACCAAAAATGTATTTATTTAGACTATCACTTTTATTTAGACTATTGTGAATATAGAGTTCAAAAATTGTGAACATACATAGAGTTCAAAAATTGTGAATATAGATTTAAAAATTGTGTTTTTTTTTTTTTTTTTTTTTTTTGGTGCAAACCACATTGTGGTCCGGGTCTTTCTATGTCCGTTTAACGGTCCAGGTCCACCCGTCAAAAATTGTGTTATAGTGTTGATATAATTGTGGTATATAGAGTTCAAAAGTTGTGAATATTGAGTTCGGTAATTTTGTATATTGAGATCTAAAATTATGAATATTCAGTTCTAAAATTGAGAATATAGAGTTCTAAAATTATGAATATAGAGTTCTGCAATTGTGAATATTGAGTTCTGTAATTTTGTATATTGAAATCTAAAATAGTGAATATAGAGTTTAAAAATTGTGAATATAGAAGAACGAATTCTGAAGACAAACGGCAAGGAAGACAGCAATTTTTGTTTTTAAATTCAGACAGCGTCGTTTTGAAACAAAATGACGATGTTTTGGACCCGAGTCAACCTTGCAAGGTGGACCCGGGTCCATATCATAATTTGCCTCGTGGGAGTTACGACTAAAATAAGAAATATTACGTCAAACGGTATAACTAGTAGCTAGTAGCGAATAACAAACACTGAAAAACTAAAAAAATGAGGTGTATACAAGAAAAATTTATAGTCACTATTTGAGAGTATGCAATAAATAAATTCTACTATTGTATAATATAGTCTCAAAAATCATGCTTCACTTACTCACGGCCTCTTTCTGAGCCAAAATTCCTTTTTACTTCTACCACCGACTCCCGTTGCACTAGCTGTCTATCACGAAATTCCTTGGTTTGGACATGATGAAAACTCCAGTTCATTACCCAATTAATTGATGATTAACATTAGTTGAAAAGACCCAATGATATGCTTTGTCCCCTTCATATTCAATTCATAATCTTAATTATTTGATCGGATGATAATGTTTTCCCCCCTTCAAATGAGCTGTAATCTTCAAAAGGGGGAAAAAACTCCAAATATTGCTTAATACATTATACATTATATGCATGTGTGCGCAATATGTTAGTGGGAATGTTGATTATATATGGTATTAGAATAAAGAGGAATAACCCTATCTAAATTGGTTGCACTGTTGATTTAGTAATTACAAAATTCTATGTTTGATAATCAAAATGGTTGGCCTGGTAGTTCATCACCTCGTCTCTTAAGCATGAGGTTGTGGTTCGAGCAAACCATTTGGCCAGTCCCTTATCACTTAGTGTGCTGACAATAGGAACGTCAGATTAATCTTCTGGCTATCGGCTGGAGGGATACCTTTAAACAACCAAAAAAAAAAAAGTTCTATGTTTGATTTTCCTTGAGAGAAAATATTCTTAGTTTGACCCAACTTTAACCTGTAGGGTTGGGTTTGATCCCTGCTACGAACATATTTTGTTGAGTTTCGAAGTTAGATTGACTCGAGGTAGAGTTCAATTCTTGCCACGAATATTGAGGTTTGGTTCCTTGTGTGCAAAAATGTAAATTAAAGTTTGTTATTGAGTTTCGAATTTAGATCAGATTAACTTCATTTACCTCTTTATTGGTGTGGGGCAAGTTAATAGGACCAGAATATAGTACGACAAAGAAAAAAAAAATTAGGTTATATATTAAAAAAAATAGAAATTCTAATTTACTAAAAATCTACTATATATATATATATATATATATATATATATATATATATATATATATATATTATATACTAATAAGAGCCCAAGAGAGTTAGGCCTATAATGGGTAGAAAAAATGACGGTCAAATT